CTCTCTCTCTCTCTCTCTCTCTCTCTCTCTCTCTCTCTCTCTCTCTCTCTCTCTCTCTCTCTCTCTCTCTCTCTCTATCTCTATCTCTCTCCAAACAATATAATTGTTTACTGATATAATGGGAATAAATTGTTTATTTTGACTATAGGTGTGAATCCCCAGGAGTTGAGGGGAACAAAGACTGGAGTATACGTTGGAGTTTCCATATACTCCATGACTGACGGCTACCCCGACGACGGACAGCCAGACCTATCAGAGAGTATGCAGACTCTAATGCTTCAAAGTCTCGGCAATATGAAGACCCTCTACTCCAGCCGTATATCGTTTGCTAATGACTTTAAGGGCCCGAGTCTTGTGGTGGACACGGCCTGCTCGGCCAGTCTTACCGCCCTCGCACTGGCCTGCAGTGATTTGGTGCAAGGTTAGTTTTGTGGTCATTTTATTTAATATATATTATCTTCACTTACTTAATTATTGTTGACATTGTCAACTTGACATTTGTGTTGTAATTAATTAAATAATTTTATTATAAATTCTGTATTGTTATCTAATAATATAGTTAATTTTTTAATCAAATGCCATACCTTGATTATATTTAATGTTGTAATGATATGATTACAGGATATACGGACAACGCGATAGTGTGCGGCACTCATATGGATTTCGAGCCGTTTATCTTTCAGTTTCAACAAGAGTTGGGTATTTGTTCGCCGGACGGTATGTCCCGTGTATTGGACGCCGGGGCCAATGGCTTTGTGAAGTCAGAGGCCGTGTGCTGTGTATTCCTACAGCGCCGTCAGTACGCACGCCGTCTGTACGGACACGTATTGACGGCCAGAATGAATGTCGACGGACACAAAAAGATGGGAATGTTTTTCCCCTCGTCTGAGGCTCAGGAGGAACTGATGCGCATGACGTACACCGACGCCAACATTGATCCCAAAAAGATCACCTATTTTGAAGCCCACGCCACCGGCACCAAGGTGAATTACATTCATAGTTGCTATCACTATTATTTGCCTCTTATAAATGGTGTATGGTTATACTATTCTTTATAATTGATAGTTTTTAATTATTATATTGAGTGTGTTGTGAATCTATTATAAAACCCATGTATGTCTTTGTTTATCAACTGGTTTAAAATAATGTTTGATAAACAGGCGGGCGATCCTCAAGAGATGAAAGCGATATACAACGCGTACTGTGAGGGCCGGACTGAGCCCTTGCCGTTGGGGGCGTTGAAGAGCAATATGGGTCACTCGGAGGCCGGCTCTGGCGTCGCGTCTATCATTAAAGTGATGATCGCTTACGAGAATGAATGCATTCCTCCGAACATTAACTTAAATCAATTAAAGGGAGAATTAGAAAAATATTTCCCACCACTACTGGCCATCACTGAAAAGTATTCGTACACCCCTGGTAACTTAATTTTTATAAGATATAGTCATAATCATCACTGGTTTTATTTACACAATCGTGTAAATTTTTATAAACAAGAATTTTGTAATTTATACTCTATTTGCATATTAATCATAGATAGTGCACAGTAATATAAAAGTGGGGGTTATTATATACTTGAATAACCATTTAAATAAACTTTTAACAAATATATTATTTTGAGTATTCAAAGGGGAGATAATTACTACAAATATAGTAAATATAGTAACGATTATCGTGAATAATAGTGCAAAAATTGACTTAATGATTCAATAATCACGTCTAATTTCATCCTTGCCTTCTTTCAAACCAGTGATGGTCATAATATATACCAAAATTAAATACTAAAATGAAAATGTTTTATCATATTGTGTTTAGGTCTCGCCGCTGTTAACAACTTTGGCATCGGTGGTTCAAACGCTCACGCCTTGATTGAACCAAATTATAAGTTGGAAACCAATGATAAGTTGAGAATTGCGGAAAAGATTCCCAGAATTGTAAACATTTGCGGCCGAACTGAAGATGCGGTCAAATATGTGATGGATTTCATACAAAACAACCCAAAGAGAGTAACGAATGACTTTTTGGCACTTTTGGCACCCGTTATGAAAACCTCACCCGATATTAATTCTGCCGGAAAGCCGTACAGAGGTTTGAATTATAGCATAATTAATGAAACAAATTAATTGAATTTATTTTAATCGTTAAAATATAGGATCAATGATAATAAAAAAAGTGTCGGAAGAAAACAATGTAATAAACTACGAATACAATAGACAAATAGGAGTAATGAAAGGCAAAAGTGCTCGCCCTCTATGGCTACTGTTCCCGGGTTTGGGCGGACAATGGCCTGCAATGGCTGCAGCTTTGATGCCAATCAAGATATTCGCCGATAAAGTGGAAGAATGCCATCAAATACTAC